CAGAAGCAAGAGGTAGTTAAAGAGAAATGGGATAACTAATGTTAGAAAAGCTGGCAAGAAACAAACCAGGCTAAGGTCAGGCATTAATAAATAATAATGAGTCTCTGTGTATTTATCTGGGATCTGAGTGGTGGGCTCCCAAAGAGGTTTTTTGTTTTTTTAAAGAAACATCTACAATACAGATTGATTTTATTGTCCTATTTAATCTGTCACCAACACTACCTCAGCATATAGGTGTTGGACACTGATGCTACAGAAGTTAAGAACCTGCTGGCTGGGGACACAGCTCACTGGTGGAGCCCTTGCTTAGCAGCAGCCCTGAGCTCACTCTCCAACAGAATGCTGTCGGGGGTGTTAAGGAGGGGAAACATTATTTACTCCAAGAAGAGAACCAGGGATTTAACCCAGGTCCATAGAGCTCTGCTTCAGTCAAGCTCACGGAGGTACAACAGAACTAGCAACACTAAAAAGATGATTTCCTGGAATGATGCACATGGAGGTGAAGAATGTCACTGTCTGGGAAACCCAGGAACATGGGCGGCAGGCAGACTGGAACTCCCTGCACATGAGAACTGCAAGTTGACTGAACTTCAAGACAGCCCAGGAACCTCATCACTATGGTCTATCACTCTGCTCAAAGACACATGGAAACTACAATCTTCCCTTTGCTATACATTTTTTTAATTTGCATAAACCTTGAAATGGAATGGCTTCTTGAGCAACTGTTCCGTTTTGGTTTCAGCTCCTACCGACAAGGAAACTTCCTCAAGTTCCTTAGTTCAAAATCTCAAGTCAACACCTGATTAATCTTACCTGTCTGTTTAAGATAGATCACTAGTCGCTGTCCCGGTCTGTTTTGGTAAAGTTTCTCTTCTTTATAAATTATACACTAATTAGCAGAGATGTGAGTAAAGTGGGTTGAACCCAAGAAATGCACTCTAACACACCCCATCTATATCTGTGTCTCTAGTTTCCATCCTTTCTCCCCCCTTATTTTCTCTCCCTTCATCCTCCCTCCTCCATTTCCACCCTACTCCCAAACCTTCAGTTCTGGGGTTTTCTGTCTTATGGTCATGTCTCTCCCACTTGGCATGAGGGGAAACACCAGGTTCCTCAACCTTAGAAGGATCATATGACAAAACTGTGTATTCTTTCCTTCCCATACTCCAACTGTGATATTTATGACGACGCAGTGAAACCATGCTTTGCACATGATCGCTAATGTGCCTTGAGTTTACCTGTGCAGCAGACACCACTCTAGAGAGAACTTGTCTGACCTGCTGTCCATACAGAACTGCCCTTATTCACATGCTCACCTCATACTTACTCACCATCCTCATCTTGTCCTCACTCAGCATCCTCACCTGGTCCTTATTCAGTATCCTCACCTGGTCCTTATTCAGCATCCTCACCTGTTTCTTATCACCATTCTCACCTGGTCCTCATTCAGGCTCCTCACCTGGTCCTCCCCATATCCATCCTCCCGGTCCTCACTCTGTGTAATCTGAGTCTGAGGCAGTGTGGGTTAGAGGAAAATGGCAAAGACTGAGATCTAAAGTTCTTATCACTAAACCTGTGTCTCTCTGCATAAAGAGGTGGGGACAGTCTTAACTGGTTACAACTGGACAAAAGAATCCCTGAGGAAGACACACATCCCTAAAGCAATTAACAGGAGACTTACACTATCTTTTCTTTTTATTACATTTATTTATTTTACATGCCAACCACAGGTTCCCTGTAGGAAAAGTGACTCCCATTACCAGTCATAATAAAGAGAATCTTCTAAGATACAAAGAAAAATAAAGTTCCTGATCTTCCCTTACTGTAGCTCTGTCAAATGTTATACTTCATACTGCTTTAAGAGACATTGGTGCCCACCACTCCACTGCCTTCTGGAATTGCCCTCCAAATGTTTCCACCAATGCATTTTTGATCTACCTTGATTTATCTTTGTTCTGATACTGCCCTGAAACTGCTGCCATGTGGGAGTATGGAACCAGAGGTAACCAGACTCGGTGTTTCCTGGGACATGATCAATCAAATTTTGTTCCAGAATTAACTCTCTCTCATTCCCTTTGAGGTTTAGACCTGTAATTTTGCACTGTTGGAACAGTGAATACAGGTTTTTAGAGCAGGGATGAGGATTAGCAGCCATGGTGCAGGAGAGGAAACCTCAAAATGCTTGCCTGGACAAGACCTTGCCTATCATTGAGTGGGGGCTGGGGTGAGAGCACCAAGGGGCAGACAAAGGCATGAGGACACTTTGCTATAGCAGCAAGTCCTGGGGCTGCCTTCAGGCTGTGCTCAACTCTGATTGGTCCAATGGTGGCTAGAAACTGTGCTCTGAGGGTCTGCTCCAGGGCAGTCCACTTGAAGGACCCTGAAGTGACACACTAGTGGATGCTGGCCACTGAGTTCAACCATGCTGGTGGCAGCCATGATGGCCATGCCAGAGGAGGTAGAAGGTGGGACAGATAACGTCCTCTCTTCCAATGTTCTGATCTGGTTGACTAAAGCCTGGGTGTGGAACTCTGTCAGAATGGACCCTATACCGACCTGAACACATGACAGGAGTGAAAAGGTAGGAGGTGCCTCACGGTGGAGAATCTGAGGGTCCAGACTCTCTCGTAAACAGAGTTTGTGCAGGCTTGTTCCACAGAGGGCTGGAGAGAAAGCTCACCAGAAGTGCTTTTGCCATGGGCTAGGACACCAATCCCCAGAGCCCCTCCTGAGTCATTTAAAGCTAGAGTGAACATTTGAGTACTTACTAGGTGAAGTCATTTACCAAGGCCATAGCCAGGCAGCGGCCATTGGAAGAAACCGTGGAATATAGAGCATGGAGCACGACTCTGCTGCCCCCTGCCTTCCTTAAGTGTGGTCAGAGGCATTCCTTGGACAGACATGAAAAATGTCAGTGTACCCAGATCCGGTACTAACAGCAGCCTGAAGAAATTATTCTACCCAAGTCTAGCTTATTCAGTCAGTGGGTTTACTGGAGCCCCTTGCAGAGGTATGGGTCGGGATTACTAATAAGAAGGTTGACTCAAGGGCAGCTGCATCTCCCCACGCCTGCCCCAGCACTGGCCTCAGCTTAGCAAAGCTATATTTCTGGAGCTCTCTGACAAACTGGATATCTTGCCATGCTGGTCATTGTTGTGGTTCATAGGCATCCCAGCTGGGCAGGATGATGAATGTCTTCTTCCTCAACAACCTCCTTCTTAAATGCCTGAAAGGATATGAGATACTCACCCACAAAGGCCTCTGACACATCATACTGGCTTAGACTTCTGTATAAGTAAATATTGGCCTCTTTGATCCACTGAGGCAAAAACTACCAAGGTGTCTTATTTTTGCTGTAATAAGACACTATGATCAAGGCAAAAAACTTATAAAAGAGTGTGTTTAATTCAGCTTCACATTTTACACAATTAGTGTCCATGATGTTAGAGCAAAGGCATGGTGAGGATCAGCTAAGAGTGCACCCACACCCACAAGTAGCAGGCAGAGAGGGAATCACTGAGAAAGACATGGGCTTTGGAGACCTCCAAACCCACCCCCAGTGAGACACCAGCTCCAACATGGCCACTCCTCCTAATCCTTCCCAAGCAGTTCTATGACTGGGGCCCAAAAATGAGCTTATGAGCCCATGGGAATCATTCTCATTCAACCATTCCATAGATCCTTAGCATTATCATAGGAGAAGAAAGGTCCATGAGGGAAAAGTAGTGACAGCTACTGAAGGCTAATGTGAGCAGGGTGCTGTCTATTTCTTGTTCACGTGGAACAGTTGTGAATGAAAAAGCAGCAGCATCTTGGTCCGTGGTCTGGGTAGCAAATTCATGGCTAGTCTCCATGGAGTAGATTTTTACAACCTAAGGGACTCAGATGTACCTGTGTTGTCTTGGTGTCCAGTTCTTGGGTTGACTTTTTCGCAGGACCTGTCAGGAGATGAGGAAGGTAGGTGCTCAACCTCACTCCTAGGCCTGCTTGTTCAGAGACACATTGAAGAGTAAATATGTGGTGCTCCTTACTATAGTTGGGTGGGCAACACTCTGAAAATTAACCTGCTCTGGCCTCGCAGGGACAGAGTGAGCACACAAATCCTATCCTGGAAAGCACAGAGAAGCATCTGTGCTACATTTTTTTGTCAGAAAGGCCCCTTCTCCAAAGGTAACAGTGTCTGGATGCAGCCTGCCTGTCCTACATCATGACAGCATCTATTTTGACTTAATATCTGAATTGCTGAGGAGGAAGCTTGATGGCTGCTGGAAGAAGAGGCCGAGACACAATCTGAACAGACCACAACAGTGATCAAATACTGCCACAAAACAAAGCCTAAAGCAACCACTTGGATGCACACAGCAAGGTTAGAGTTGGACACTAGACCTGAGCCCTTCAATGCTCCATAACTCTTTCTCAGAAAAGGATCTGATGAGAATGAGGGGTGGAGTCTGGGCAGGATGCTCTCTGAGTTATAAGCACTGACCACCACCCCTGCTTAGGGAACACCATTCATAGACTGCAGGAACACATTCTAAGAGTGACATCTGATATTTCAAGTCATGTCTCTGGGCAGCTAAAAACCCTAATTCACCAATATTTGGCAGTTGCACCACGGGAGTCACCCACTACAAGGTATTCATAACACCCATGGTCCACCAAACATGAGCAAAGTTCACAGACTCTTCCAAGTGAGACCTGCCCAGGCCACACCATCTTAGCTGTGCTCTCTGATCTTGGATGTGACTCAAACATCATCTGTGCATTGTTCAGAAGAGAAATTCTGAGAAAAACACATCGGGGGTATTTCTCACCCTGAAGGGCACTCCAGAACATTGGGCTTATCTTAAGGACCTCTGCAAAGACTGGGAGCTTGGCCTAGACCTTCCAATGCCACACCAATACCTCCACTTCTGCTTTTCTCCATAAACCAAGAGCCAGTGATCTTGCCCTTGGCATTTTAGACATCTTTTCTCAGATTGGCACCTGAGTAAGGACACGTCATGGGGTAAAATTGTCTTCACAGTTTTCATTTTCTTCTGTTGTCCCAAGAAGAGCCACCAGGTTGTTACTAGCTCCTCTGAGGTCACAAAAGGCTGTCCTTGGCATGAGATTCAGCAAACTCTCAGAAGCAATGCCCTTGCCACCTGGGCAGCACCCTGATTTGCAAACTGCTTCCACACTGAAATAGTCATTGCAAAGGCAGAGCAGGAGAATGAAGACATGCCTTTCAGGATTCTTTTGCCACCTGCAGCTCAAAGAAATGCATGCTGGTATCTTTCCCAGATTGAAACAGCAAGACCCTCACACCTGTGTGATAGTGTTTAGAGACAGGCCTTCTGTAGGGAGGCAGGGACAGATTTTGTCCTGAGGGCAGGCCTTTCAGCATGCACTTAGGTCCAGCTAGAAAGAAGTCCCTGTCATATGAGGACCTAGAGATGGCCAGCCTCTGCAGAGCACAAAGGGACCTCAAAAGGTCTGGACTCATTTGTTACTGATGAACACTAACTGCAAATGCTTTCTCCTCTAGTCCCTGAGCAATAGCTGAGGACCTGAAGCCCAGGAGACATCATGGAAGGGAAAGGGGCCCAGCACAAAATGGGGCCTCGCTCAGAAGAAGCATGACAGATGTCTGACTCTGCAAAGCTAGTTTTCCCTGAGCTCACAGGAAATCCACTGGCATAATAAGTCAGACTCCTCCCAAAAGACAGATAATTATAGGTTCTCTTGAATTGACAATATTCCCAAGCTTAAGAACCAGGATTATCATTCACTGTCATAGCCCGATCGAAATAACACCTGAACAATTCTAGTTTGTGACTGAGTAGGAACAGCCTGTTAGCTGCAGTCCACAATATCAATGCTGTAGATATTAGTCTGGAGACAAACTGTAGAGCCAGGTACACACTGCAAGGGCACTGGGGAAATGCAAATGGAGAAAACGGATGGAACTGATCTAAGGGTCCTACAGCCTGCAGAACAAAGAGACCCAGAAACCTCATTTGTTGTGTGACCTCCATCAAGCCACCTAATGGGACCTCACCTCCTTAAATTGTAAATTTCTGGTCAGAATGCTTGCTCTTCCTCCTCTTGAGAGCTGCAGGTAGAGGATGTCAAAGAGCTCATTTTGAATAACTCTTTGTTTAATATAAAAGTCAGTGTGTATGTATCTGAGTGTCTGTGTCCATACTGCAACACAGAGGTCCAAGTGCTCAACCTGGAAACAACATTGACTCAGTCTCATCCTTCCCTCTTACTTGTCCCTCCTGATAGACAGCATTTCAGTGCAGGATTCCAGGCCCTTATGTTCTGACTGCAACCTCAGCTTCCTGAAATCTCTCTACCTTGCACTACTGGGAGTTCAACCTGAACACAGGCTTAAAGAATCGCCAGGGACTCATCTCACTGCAATTTTGCTCATGCCCTCAACTGCAATGGAATTTTGACCTGGTTATCATGCCTGTATGCATAGTGAGGCCCTTTCAGCCTGCCTGTGTCAGACAGCTGGACACTCCACAGATCTAGAGAGGCCAGCCTGCAGGACAGGCTTTGGCTACTTTGGAGAGGTTGACTAATTTTCCCAACCTCTTATGTTCCCAGTTATATGTGAAGACTGACTTCAGACTTCCTCAAGGGTGTTTTGGGAGCAGTAGAACCCTAGTGGATTTAATCAAAGCACTAGATCACTCAAACATCATCATTTGGGTGTGCAGGTGATAAAGGGAAACAATTGTTAACTGGGTAATGGGGATTCCAGCAGAAGGAAAAGAACCCTCAAAGTGCAGAAGAGTCCTCATAGTGTCCTCCTAGCTCGGTGCTTTGGGAGGCAGCCATTTGGCCAAGTAAGTGCCATAGCCATGAACCAGGGCATTGAACACAGAGATTTGAAGCCAAAAAAAAACATTCTGCTATAGAATGCAGGATCAACAAAATGTGTGACTTTGGAGACCAGGCTCTGGTCCAGGAGAACCTGGGGACATTCAAAGCACATTCTCCTTCTCTTGAGAGACAGAGAGAGAGAGAGGGAGAAGGAGAAGGAGAGAGAGAGGGTGAGAAGAGTGAGAGAGGGAGAGAAAATATGAATATGTGGTTTTAAACATGAGATGAACCTGAGGAGGACATCCCAAGTCAGTGTTTTCTTCGTGCTTCAGCAGCATTGTCCTCTTTTATAGAGACCATTTTTCAAGAGTTGCAGCAGAGGACTCATAGGATGTTTAAAATCTTTCCATCTCATCTCCTCCAAAGTAGGAAGCATCCTCCACTGATTGTAAACTGTCCTGCTGAGGTGGAAATCTACAGTGGAACTTCTGATGAGGAACCAACATCTGATGATCAGTGACAAATGCTCACCATGATTTTCTCTTGAGGAAAGAGCCAAGTAGGCAATCAGCACATTCCAGTCCTATTGCCTGACATAGTTAAAATGTTCATGGGAGCCAAGCTTCTAGATGGAATAGAGTTCCATCCAGCCATGGCTGTATCTTGCTGCTCCACAGCACACACTATGGGCTTACTTCAGAGTGCTGCTTGCTGGTAAAATGGGAGAAAGACCATCAATGTATTGCTATCAGGTGATGTGTAGGGGTGGCAGTAGTCCACTCCAGAATGTCCAGAGTCCTGCAGGGCTAAAAGAGCCATGGAAACCTCCTTCTCTTGTTCACCACCCTGCTCTCCTTCTGTATGCCTGCTTCACTCCAGATGAGGAATGAACTCCTCGGTAGATGTGTCCTGACTCCTTGAATTTCATCTTTCTGCTTACAGGGTATCCTAAGTCTAAACCTGGCCTCTAACACTAAGAGATCTTGCTAGAGGCTGTAGGAAAGGCTGAGTCCATCAGCTGGACAACAGAAGAGCTCACAAGTTGGAGAGCCAGGCTCATTCACACTGGAGATGTTTAGCAGCTCCTTCTGCAATAGGTGCACGATGATTGCCAGGATTCCCGAGCCCAATGACACTTCATGGTGGAATCTAGCTCATGTTTTTATAAAGTGAGGTGTCCTGTTATTTCCTACATTATGAAATGAGACCAAGAAGGGTGGGTATGCTGAGTGTGACAGGGACCTCCTTGCAAGTGATCCCAATTGGAGCACACACCAGGCCCAAGCGATGGAGGCAGCTGTTCCCTTGGGACACTGCACATAATTGGAAGCTACTAGGGGACTCCTGAGAGTATCGAGTGAGACAGTGGAGGGGCAATGTGCCTTGGGCCTAAAATGGAAACAATCACTGTGGGCTACATATAGCCTACTGTGATTGGACCATTTCTCGATCAGACCTCACTGTGAGGAATGAGTATCCTGTATATAAGGCTGTGGCCTGGCCTGCAGTTCTGTCCCTACAGATCAGGGAGCTGATTTCAGTAACCTGTGGAAATTTTTCACTGCGATCTAGCTTGTTAGTTGTTGAGTTGTGGCTTCACAAAGACCTGTCTACACAAGAGCACAGTGACCACCTAGCCTTATGGCCTGCCTCCCATAAAGAGGAACCTGAAAAGTCCATAAAGGGTCCTACTTATCATTGGCCAACATGCATTTGGCTCTGTGAAACTGGCCTATCATTTCCTCACAGGCACCCTCTGGCCATCAAATTTATAGAGAATGTAGAGAAGCACCTCTGTTTATCATGTCAGCTGACAATCTGGATGTACTACACCATCCTTACATGATTTGCCTCTTCCAGATTCTTATAAAACCACAACATATTTTTTGTGAATAAAGAAACTTGTTCCAACTAATAATGGAGGAGGGCAGGTTGTAGGATGAAGCGGCACAGAAGATATTCAGGCCGATTATTTCATCCATCATCAAGTTTTACCATGACCTTGACATCGTCCACCGAGACCTGAATTCTGAAAATATCCTTCTAGATGAGGAGGGCAATGTCAAGCTGACAGACTTTGGTTTCACCATCAGATGTAGAGCTGGCACTGTATTGCAAGGGCAATGTAGGACCAAGACCTTCAAGACCCCAGAACTGGTACTGGGAGAGGGTTATGATGGGAAGAAGGTGGATGTGTAAAGTCTGGGTGTGCTGCTCTATTTTATCACCACCGGGAACCGCCCCTTCCAAGAAAGTACCCTAGAAAAGCTTGAGGGAAATAGCATAAAAGGGACCTCTGACTTCCAGCTCATGTCTCTGGGAAACTTGAAAACCTAATTCACCAAATCATCAGAATTGCCCCACAGAGGAGGCCCTCCATTGACGACCTTCAGTAACATCCATTGCTCATTAAGTGGGAAGAAAGCATCCCAAGTGACACCTACTTAGATCCAATGTCCTAGACACGCTGTCATCTTGGCTTTAATATGAATGTCATCTTGTAATCCTTTGTAAAGAGAAAATACAATGAAATGATGGGGGACATACCTCATCATCAAAGAGCAGTCACACAAGGACCTGGGGTTTTCACTAGGCTGCACCACCTCAGCCAAGCCTGTAGACCTTGGAGTTGTGTCTCCCCCTTCTCCAGTTCATCCATCTATCTCTGGTCTTCACCTAAAATAAAGGGCCAGTGAGCCCACCTTTGGCCTCTTCCACACCCAGTCCTCACCACAGCACCTGCCTGTTGTTCTGACATCACCAGGCCAGAAGGTGGCTAGAAATGCTTCCATGGCTCTATGTTATCCCCTGAAGAAGAGCCTGACTTGTAGCTATGCCCCCTATTCAGAGCTGTGGCAGCCCCAGTACCTACAGCGGCATATTGGAAGAGGAAATGTCCTGGCACCTCGGCAAAACTCTGACATGGAAAAGGCATCACCCCTACTAAACATCGGGTGCTTCAAGAGACTGCACGAGAGTATCATGGATTACCTCTCAAGAGTGTGCTCCTTCTCTTGGCCTCCAAACACACACGCCCATCCTATGTTCACCAATGAAGTGGCTCCCTTGAAAGAGGAAGGGTGCAGAGCCTAGTGAGGAATTGGGCAAGCAGGTATTGCCTATGCTGTCTTTCCCAGCATGCTTTTCTCTATACCATCACTGTGTATCAGACTTCATTTCCCAAGCTGCCTACCTCTTTATTGGCATGCCACTACAAACTACCTTTCCCATAGTGCCTCTCATGTCCACTACTCCATTTCTCTTTAGATGGCTAAAATTTCTAAAGTCACATTTCAGATTGAACATGAAAGGTTTGAGTCAAGATTTTTGCTTTTTCACCACTGGAGATAGGAGATGTCTGTTCTCCTTGGACTGGCTTTTTTTTTTCTTTTCTTTTTTTTTTTCCTTTGAGGACACTTTCCCCATGGCGAGTGGTGCATATTCAAGGAAGGTGCTTTTGTGCCCAAAGGAAAAATACCTGGGGACTTGCTCATCTCCCACAGCCAGTCAGTAAAAGAGGTGAAAGCACTCAAAACAAAGCTTTTCTCCACTTCCTTCAGAAACTCCTTCCCAGAGAGCTCTGGGTTTGGTCCCAGCTCATCCTTTGTTTACAAACAGTCCCCAACACCACAGTGGTTGCTTTGTTCCTCTGCTAACCACTTC